TGGACCAATTATCAACACAGTCAAAACATCTCCTGAAAATAAGGCTGGGACCAAATACAGCTTTAACGATAATATTTTATTTCATGAAGGAAAAATATGTGTACCTCATGTTGACGATGTAAAAAGAATTATTTTAGAAGAATGTCATGATACACCTGCCGCTGGACATTTTGGTATCGCAAAGACGTATGATATGGTATCAAGAAATTATTACTGGCCCGGTATGCGTACCTACATCAAGGACTATGTTTCTGGTTGCGAAACGTGTATCAGAAACAAAAATAGCCATCACAAACCATATGGACTTCTACAACCTCTACCAATCCCGGACTCACCTTGGACATCCATATCAGTTGATTTTATAACCCAACTTCCACCATCCAAAAACTACACGGCAATTTGCGTGTTTGTCGATCGCTTCAGTAAAATGGCATTGTTCATACCCACTACAAATCAAGTCAATGCAGAAGAAACATCACGTCTGTTTATCACTCATGTCTTTTGTCATTTTGGAACCCCCGATAGCGTAATCTCTGACCGTGGAGTTACCTTCACGTCATTATTCACAAGGTCTGTCATGAAAGGATTAAAAGTCACACAAAAATTGTCCACTGCTTTTCACCCACAAACGGATGGTCAAACAGAACGTATCAACTCTATACTTGAACAATACTTACGATGTTACATCAACTACCAACAATCTGACTGGAGTGATTATTTACCCATAGCACAATTTGCCTATAACAATGCAAAACATTCATCAACAAATACCACTCCTTTTTATGCAGTATATGGATATCCCCACGAATGTCAGTAACACTACCAAGGTCCGATCAAGATAAATCCCCTGCAGACGTCCGCTTACAAAATATTCATGACTTACACCAAGAAATGAAATTCAATATTGGACTAGCCCAAGAAAAGCATACGGAATTTTATAATAGACACGTACAACCAGGTCCCAATTACAAAATCAATGACAAGGTTTGGCTCTCATCGAAAAACATCAAATCACAACGCCCAACTGGTAAACTAGACTACAAGCGTCTAGGGCCGTTCAAGATTGTAGCATTAGTTGGATCCCGTGCGTACAAATTGGACCTACCTCCAACGATGCGTATACACCCAGTGTTTCACGTAAACCTTCTAGAACCGTATAAGCCTGATAAAATCCCTGGTCGCCCCATTCGTGAATTACCACCTATAATCGTAGATGAACATCAAGAATACGAAGTGGACTACATTGTAGATTCAAGATTCAATAGAAATAACTTACAATACTTGGTACACTGGAAAGGCTATAGCACCATGGATAGAACTTGGGAACCTACAAAAAATCTTACCCATTGTAAATCAGCTATCAAGAAATTTCATACCTTGCACCCAACCCGACCATGTGAAAAGAGTCTCACAGTTGCTCGACCGTAAAGAGGGAGCGACTGTCATGAACTCATTTCATCATGTCCTAGATCATGCCTTGATTTTAAACCCTTGTGAAACCTTGTCCTAAAATCTAATATCAGTATACCTTGTCCGCTACCAAACTCCCTGTAAAACCTTGTACCCAAAATAATATCAGTATACCTTGTCCGCTACCAAACTCCCTGTAAAACCTTGTACCCAAAATCATATCTGTATATCTTGCCCGCTTCCTGAATTCCTTGTAAAACCTACCACCAATCTGTATTCCAATATATTTCCCGCCTCTTGTCTGACTCAACCTTAGTAAACCTTTTTCCGATCATCTATTACTTCATATCCCAATCCAGTTTTCCCGCCCGTGTCAAATCAGAGATATTCCCCGAACCATCTAATTATTCAATGTCAACTAAATCCAGCCTGCTATTACTCGTCGAATCTCAATTACTCATCCTTGTCAAATAATCTGCTCATGATATCTGTTCCGTAAAGTCCCTTGTTAATCTATAATTTAAACCCATCGTAGCTTTTCCCATGTATAAGAAATAGTATAAATAGATGTTAGTTATTTATTAGAAAAACGTTATTCTGGATCTTAGTACTAACCCTACCCCCTTCTCTGAAATAAACTTCTTTATTTATCATTTTTACTCTGACTCTCGTGTCACCAAGTAGTCTTCTTTCTGTTCTTGTTCTGTTTCTGACACCTCTGTTTCTGTAAAGCTTGACACTCGTTGCGCTGCGGTAAATTTTTGAGCTGGATGACGTGACCTAGAAGGTAATAGACATATTAGTGCTAACAAAAGTTTATTCATGCTGATACTATTTGTGATATCATCATAAAATTAAAGTCATAGGAAGAACTATAAGTATATTACGTCACAAGTCTGATTTAGTAAGTCTGAGAAATACTTAAAATTTAGTTTTAAGCAAAGAGAGTTCACAAGAGTAAACATTTATTAAACAAGACTAAATTAGTGACTACGTAAAAATCGTATACATTTTTGGTTAATCAATTATATTTTCAAAATAGTACTAGAGATTTAAACACAGCAGACAATCATTTAAATCAATACTCGTATATTTCATTTATTAGTAAAGTCATCTTGTAAACAGTCTCAAACTACTTCTGTAATCTTTTTATAATTTTACTTTACCTTAAAACACAACATTAAGCTCAAAATACAGAGGTCATTGATATATGTCGCATGCTCTAAAGCAACAACAGCCTCTGATCTCGCTTTAATATGTATCAATTATGTCTTAAACCCACCCAGACCTTTATCACCCTGATTTATATTCTTAAATCCGACGTCAGCCTAGCATTACTTCCAACCAACGTTTTAAAACTTACAAAAACGAACTCTTTCTAGTTATTTCACATAATCTAGAAAATCTCTAGGACACTGGGAACTGATCGCTACGACCCCGTATATCTATCATTTGACTTAATTTTCATGAATATTACAGGGCAATCCCCAACAGATAATTTTAGGTTCCCGTCTTTAACTTGGATTCGGCTGTTGATTATGTAGACGGTGTACGTAAGACCATTGTAAGTTACTGCTATAGCTCTAGCTCGATATTAAAAGATTTTCATTAACCATTCGGTAAATAATTAAATGCGTACATATGCACAACAACCCCCGTATTGATCTGTATGCATATGCAAATCACATTTGAAAGCTGGTTTGCCCAAACCATCAAATCACACCATGAGACTCACCCCGAATCAGCACCATAGGACTACGGCTCCCGATAAAAAAATATACGCGATCACCCTCCTACCATAATCCTGACACAGTACCACGCCTCAAGACCTTACCCAAGACTCTTTACTTTAAGAATATAGTCTTTCAGATTATGTTCCTTTTATTCCAAATCCGTAAAATTATTTAGAGAAGTACTGAACTTTATCCGATATCTTGTATACTTCTATTATTATTATATAAACCTTTAACGTTTCTACCTTATCCTCTTTATCTTCTCGCAACCCTTTTTGTCCTAACGTGTACTTAGGTTTGCCTTGTAAGTATAAAGAGACTTGTCCTTGTATCTATTAAGATCCGGCTAATTCTACACGAAAACTATTCGTTTCCGTCTTGTTCTTATACCTTTCATTTCTTTGCGTAAGACCAAAACGGCGATCAAGGTATTTGTTTGCGTAGGTGTAAGCACTATAAAGTTATTATTGAAGCTCAAGCAAAAAAAAACGAAAAAAAAATCCAAAAATGAAATAAAAATAATGCGAACGGAAATTCAAAAGGAAAATGAGTATAGTGAACCTAAAAATTTTCGAAATGATAGCATAAGCTAATATATATAGTTTGCGGGGACACTCTTTTTTATGAATTAAGCAATTTGTATTTGAAATACAGTTTGCTTGTGATCGGCCTAGGACGCATGTTGATATCCAAAAATGTAATCGTACAGGTATTTCCGGTTATTTTCAATAAAGTCTTTAATCTAATTGCTCCGTACGTGGAAGGATCCTTCTTTGTAATAATCTACTGGATGGGGGCTAACGACTATAATTCTTATGTCGCATTTTCACCCAAGAGATCGACAACTCTAGCCTTCTTAACTTCTAGACACTCAAACTTCGTTGTCAAATCATCCATAGCAACCTGGCTTGTTGTATAAGCGTGCTCATAAACAAACCGTACCAAAACAACTTTATGTTCTTCATGTCGTGGGCAAAGTGTGATAATGGCACCAAGATTTGTCTTGGTTTTTAAGTATATTTCTCTCGAGGACATTCTCGTTCGATTTTATCATTCGTTTGCCGTGTGATAACGTAAGTTTGCCACATTGGCAGCCTGTTTTGATCTCCAACTTTTCTACTTTAAACATAAAAATCTCGTTTAAATTTTCAATAGTATAAGCCTATATTGAAGAGTTCGTTCATATTTAGGCAAAACATACTCCATTGCAACGATTTTTGAAGTGTCCATTTCAATTTAATGACTTTCCTTTTTGACACATTAGAAGATCAGTCGATTTCTTTAAAAGAACGCATGTTTTTTTGGACAATAAAAGGTACGTCTTGTCCTTTTCGTTCACAGTATTTTAACTACAGCCTTCATAAAGACATGCGAGTAAAACTAAAACATTTTGAAAGTACATAAAAGATTACCAAAGCGATTGACCTAGTTTAATCATTTTCAAATAGTTACCAACTGAAGTTCGAAAAAATTCGGTAATCTGATCACCATTTCAAAACAATGTCCAATGGAGCGTGGACGGGCATTATATATTATATTTGACCGCTTTTCAAAACCTTTTCTTAGTTTTTAAAAACTTTTATGTCATCTTTCTGTCTTTCAATTTCTGTCTATTTTAAGAGTTTGGTGCATTCCAGATCGTAAATGGAAAGTCAATAGCCAAATTTTTTGTATGTCAATAGCAAAAAAAAAAAAAAATACATTTTGTTGAAATAAAATAATTTGGATTCCGAACACGATTTTTAGGACTAAAATCAATGACATCATCATTTTACGTTGCGCAGCAATCTTAGTTTTTATTTTTTCAAAAAGCGGCGGGTCTTTTTTTTTTCTCTTTCTCCCATTAACGATTCTTGGAAAAATGCTCTCGTATATTCTTCTTGACGAGTAAGTAAAACGAAATCAGTAATCATTAATGCTTTAAACACGATTCTAATGTTGACATTTAATAGATTGTTGTGTGAATTAACACATTCGGCGTTTCTTTTTTCGGCTTTTCCCTGGTTTTGGACCAAATTTTGTTTGTTTTTCCTTTGGGAAAAAATGATTTGGTTCCTTTCTTCCTCTTTGATTGTTGTTGTTCGTGACAAAAAACAGGTTCCTGTTGTACCAGAGCCAATCGGTGATGTTTACGTCTGTTTTGGTAGAGGTATCATACCTCTCACCACTTTCAAAAATAATCCTGAGCTTTTTGCACAGACCTCTCCTTTGCCTGCTCCTCCTCCCGAGGATTCGGTTCGTCGACCCTTTTCTTCTGCTGCTTCTTTGCCAACTGTCACAAAGAAGGAGTATAAATGTTACTCTTTGGATTGTGCTTGCGTGGTGGGAATGCCATGTCTTAGTGGTGGTCTTTTGCCTTCTTTTCCGTCGGTCTTTCCCGTCCGTTCTCGCGTTCCGTCCTTTGCTTTCGGATGTGAAGCTTTAACACAAGCCTGGCTTGTAAACAATTCTGCTTCTCTTTCCTGTGTTTCGTCGTCTGTCGCTCGTGCGGATGTATCTCGCTCTGCCGTTGCTCCCTGTTTGTCCGTGTCTCCTCTTGCGGTTTCTTCCCCAAATGGGGATAACGCATCATCGGCGGTTTCTTTCCCTTTCGGGGATAACGCCATTCCTGCGGTTTCTTCCTCCCTTGAGGATAACGCTTCTTTTTCTGTTGCTCCTGTTGCTTCGGTTGCCTCTGGTGTTTGTGGTGGTTCTCCACCTTTGCCTTCTTTGACTTCGGTTGCTGTTTCTTCCGGCTGTTCTTCCGTTCGTTCTTCTCCGGGCTTGTCTTCCGCTTGCGCTCCTCTTGGTTTGCCTTCCTTCCCCCCTTCCCCAGTCGTTTCTTCGGTTTCTGCTTCTTTCGGTTGGGATTCTTTTCCTGCTTCTCCCGTGTTGGCGTCAGCTGCTTCTCCTGTCTGTTCTTCGGCCCCTGCGTCCCCAGGTTTGTCCTTTGGTTCTTTTGCTTTGTTTGGGGTTGAGTTGACTCCTCCCTCCTCTCCTTCCCCCCGTGCGACTTCTGTTGCGTCTTCTGGTTCTTCTTCCCCTCGTCTTGTTTCTTCCCCTCGTCGTCCTTCTTCTCCTTGTGAAGAAGAAAATAATCGCGACCGTAAGAGAATGCGTGCTCGAAGTTAATATTGGTTTTTTTTTAAATAAAAACTAGTTCAAAATTAATTCTTGTCGTAGTATCTCCACAGTAGTTACCAAATATAAATAAATCGGATGCTCTTGCATTAAACGTATATGAAAATAATTGATATTGTGTTAAATGTCCGGTTAAGAAAAGAAAGTGTTAAAATTTTTGAATCAAGTGATTTGTGACTCTTTTCCTTCTTTACTTTTAACAAGATTTCCAAACGAAATGAAGACTTGAAGTACTATTTCTCCCTTCAGCTACAAAAGGTCATAAATAAGCAGTCAAAATCCCGATGTTGCATATTATAAAAACGGCAAGGATAACCGGAATAGTAAAATCACCCAAGCTATTCTAAATCTTACGTGTTGTCCCAAAATAACTGTGGAAAGGTGAACGAAAATGCTTTCTTATGTTGAGAAATGAAGATCTGTTGATATTAAGTCTTCTTTTTGCCTTGATTCAATTACGGGTACAGAAAAGAGAGCCTGATGCGTATTGGACTGATATTAGAGAACAGTAGCACGAATCTTCGAGTAAGGAAGATTCTGTATGTCGTAGAACATGCTGGAGTATTCTGGCTGGAAGACGGAATCACATGTAGCCTAAAATATTGATATTTTTCTGGATGCATGCAAACAGGACCAAAAAAAAAAGTGAAGCCTTTCCCTTCACTGATCGCCAACAAACGATCAAATCCTCTTCCCTAGAAGTCCTCATATGCTCCTCCTTCTACACAGCCACAACAACATTTGCTAATTTTTTTAAGGATTGTTGGGTTGAAAGTTTAGATTTGCGAAATGTGCCGTCGATTGCATCCGATTCTACTCCATAAGCCAGTTTCCCAATGACTGCTGTTACTTTCCGGAGTGACGTAAAGCCTATGACGTTGGCCGCATCATACTTTTGCTCAATGTAGCTATCATGAGCCGTCACTGATTCGGTGATTCGGAAGAAGAGACGTTTCCTCAATCTGTATTTTCGACGAAAGGCAGCGTCGGAATATCTTGGCTTTTTTCAAAAAGTAATCGTTCAGAAGCGTTTCAAGTCTTGCTGTAGTCCTCTCTTGACAACTCGATGTTTTTTGATAACACGAGGCTTTGGCTTTTTGACTTTTTTCATATCCTTAGAAAATCTTTCATAGCAGTAAGATGCATTTCATAATCCTTTGCAGGGTCATTGCCAAATAATTTTTCGAAACTCAACATTGCAGAAATTGTGTGAATGAAAATGAAAAAAGTGAAAAAAGTGAAAAAAGTGAAAAAAGTGAAAAAAGTGAAAAAAGTGAAAAAAGTGAAATAAGTGAAATAAGTGAAAAAAGTGAAAAAAGTGAAAAAAGTAAAAAAAAGTGAAAAAAAGTGAAAAAAAATTACATGACAAGCACCGAAGTTTAATATTTTTTTAACAAACGATAGTGGAAATTTCAAAAAATAAATCTCTCCATAACAAAAAATAATAAATTTACAAAAACATTTAGCAAACCGCTGGGGATGCTTTTAATGGGAATTTATAATTACGTGTATAGATCGCATCGTGGGTTTTATCATCAAACCGATATAAAAAATGGTTTTATTTTTTGACCAATAAACAAAATCCTTAAATTGAATTAACAGTGACGTATTCTATTCCACAGTATTACCATGTGCGGTACACAGCCGCTCACGGTTTTGGGAAAATACACACTCAGCTGATATTTTACACATACAAATGTAAAATTACTCAATTGACTGTAAAAACACACAATCCAAAAAAAAAAAAAAATTAAATCCTTTTTTGTCCTCAATTTGAATACAAGAATATTTACAAGTCATCGTTTATTACCCCTGTTCAGAAAATTAAAAAAAACGTAAAGGTAGCAACCGACTACAGTTCACGAAGAGAGAAAGCTGGACGCCAAACAACCTTAAAGATATTAAGTAAATTCGAGTACTGGACAAGACCAACAGCTTAAAGAATGTCGCTTACTGTTATCGGGGCTTACTTTCTGTATTATTCACCTACAGAGCTTTAAGCGAAAGTTACAACATTACAACTGTGAAACTTCTGCTTCTTACCCCCCAAAACTGCTAAGAAATGTTTAGTGCCACTACAAATATAGGAGTAGATCGCCCTGTGGCTGTTGTGGGAATTGCAATAAAGAAGGCGAGAAGAATAATTCGCTCTTTAAAATAATGTGATAATGAGATTCAGGCGAGATTCATAAACCCGTTTTTTTTTCTGTCCCTGTTCCTCTCTTTCTTTCACTTTCACTTTTTTTCACTTTCGATAAAATAATTCTTAGATTTTAATTCATGTAATACACTACAAGAACATAAGTTATAGGTGCTAAACTTGAATAAATTTACAATGCTACTGAGTGTACCCATTTTATCTTATTAAGAATTCTTAGGTATATTCACCAAGAAATGTTTAAAACATGATGTATCTAAGGTAATTGTGGTTGCCTATCAAGTTTAATACGTTTTTCTGATTTGTATGTTGTATAGATGCTGAGCAATTCATTGTCAATAACTAGGTATTTTAAAAAATTATAAGGCTAATTGTTTTTAGGCTGTTTTTTTTTATTTTAGGCTATTTGTTTTAGTTTTAGGCTCTTTTTTTTTTTTAGACCGTATTTTATCATAGGCTGTTTATTCTAGGTTACTTCTAAGAACTATATGGCTCTTTACCTGTATACATGTAAGTCTGTCAGGCAATTCTTTTGCTTCCTTAGCAGGTTATTAGTATGTGAGTACTGTAAATATCTACACGCGAATAATTCCTTATAGCTTTTAGAGATGACGTATCGTATACTTAAAATTGCTTCTGGTTTAAAATCTCAAAAAAAAACATTTTTAAACAAAATTTAAACGTCTTTTTAAACCATGTTTCCTATGTAAGCACCATATCCATGTGAACAATTAACAAACTAGTGTTAAATATCAAGTGTGTATTTGTAAAAGGGATGCATCTGTGCGAATAATAATGCAATGTACGATTGGTAAAAGGTCCATATACATGCATAAATAAACAGCGTATAACGGTAAAAAACCACCATTGGATGAGAAAACGTACAACCATTCAATGTGAGTTTTAGCAATCATTCATTGTGCATTTTTGGTATGTTTTAGGAACATTTAACCATTTGGTGCGCCGCTGTGGTATTATCACCTAAAATTCAGACAACTTAAAATTATTTTCAGTCAAGCCTAAAAAAAAAAATTCAGACAAAAAAGAATATTTTTCGACAAGCGTAAAAAATTAATCCGACAAAGGGAAATTATTCTAGAAATATGATAACGAAACTTCAGGCGAGTAAAAGATTAAATTAGTTTTGATTCTTTGTCAAGGTAATTGTCCTAGCACGTTTCAGAGTGTTGTATGTAACCGTTACAATCGTCTGTGGTAATAGTCTCACGGAGTGCCTTGACTCTTGGGTTAAAGTGCTCAAAGTGGAAAGTGAATTTCATTTGATCTGCTTCTTGATCTTGGATTAGCATTCTTAAATAGGATTCAAAAATGGAAAATATGGTAGCATAAATAAAGGCTTATAGCCTCTACTTTCGATTGGATCATGTGGTGATCCACCTACTGTTGTTATTAATCACACTATAAAACAATATTAAAGCTAAATCTCATTTTTCACCCAATATATTATTACGTCACAAAACGAACTAATCTCTTATGTATTATATCATATCCAACTACAAGCACTATTTTAGTGCTGTGTAACTTATCCATCAAACTAAATTCATAATCCGATTTCTCTTAACATATATAAATATGCAAACTGACAGTTAGAATAGAACCCGCTCTATCTTTGAATCTACTTTTACTCTTAATACCCCCTTATGAGCAGTCTGAAAGTACTTTATTATTTTTCTCTTTTTAAACTCTATTCTCAACTATCACAAATAAACAACAAAATGGGAAAAATGAATTCTAAAATTACCCATGACGATATAAAATCCAACTTTGTTGTGTCTGTCTAGGATATCCAGGACATTTCTAACAAATGTTACATCGTGCTACGCAGTCGTACACCTTTTTGGGATTTCCCTTTTTGTGTCATCGGTTTTATCCTTTTTTTTTTTCTGGCAGGTAAAGGAAACTGCTTCTCAATATTAGCTACATCAGCGAGCTACAACGGCTCTACCTTGGAAAAATTGATGATTCCAAAAAACGATATAGACCCAATAATGCTCAAGTTATCGCCCTTTTGAGTTGGAACAAAACTGACGGCATGTGCTCCCTTGATAGACCAGGCTTTACTTCTGTTCTGGTGCGCGTTCAAACCGGCCTCATCCATAAACACGCAGCTAGTCTTGAAGTCAACCACAGCTGCTTTCCAAGCGGTTATTACGTTAAATCGAAAATCAAACGTTCTGTTCACATCTATTTCCATTGTATAGACATGTCAGTCTTTTAATGAAATTCTTAACTTTTCCGACATATTCTCTCTCGATTCAATTGGGAAACGCTAAAGCTTTCAAAAACAACACAGTTGCTATCTTATTATGCTCATGGTAATACAACGGTTTTGGACGCTAACTCGGTAAGATACTTAGTTAGCTGTGGCAAAATCTTATAAATCTTTGCTAGCTTTGCCCGCCTATTTTAGGAGTCTTCCTTAAACCACCGATAGGAATCACGGTTCCATCACTTTTATTTCATTGTTTCAATATTTCATAGGCTGTAGAGCGTGGGATAAAACAGGTTTTGGCATGTTTATCATAAGCTGAAAAAAAAAGATCTAATTATAACGGGCTCATAGGCCTTATAATCTGTTGTTTGATGTGAGCTAAGGTTGATTTCACTGTTTGCCGCATCATTCTCAACTTCTTTCGATGTTGTTCCTGAACTTGCTCATGATCTAATTATTGGATATCCTGACCTCAAGGCCCTCAAAGCTATCATCGATATCGCCTCCAACGAGGTTCGTGTTCCCAAGAGCTTGGACTCTACGGCTGCCATGACACCTGATGTAGCTTCCGTATGCTCCATCTCGTCTTCGTTGCATCCTGCTGGTCTTCATCATACTTATGTTGATATCAACGGTCCCCCTAATACGCTTGCATTCATATCCACGGCTACGAATGTTGCTATGGAAAACTCTAGTCTGACTCCTCAGGTATTGTTGAGTTCAACAACGATGGATTGGCCACGGTTAAATATGCTAATTTAGATTCCTTAAATGTTCATATTTATAAAGGTTAGCATATCGCTTTTTACGAGTATTTAGCTAAGTCCCCAACATTATATCCTATATCACATTCTTCTCCAAATCGTTCTAGTATCCATTCGCCTACCTATCCTCCAGTGAGCTCTACGCCTGAACCTGCTTTAGACTTGCTATCTTCTGTCGGTGATACCCTCTCTGGTGCGGAAGCTAGTATTCGAACTTTTCAAACTTGCACCGATCTTGCGCCAGTTCGAACGAAACTCCAACCGAGTTTTTGTACTCGAACTTGCGCCACTTTTTTTGGGTTCAAGCGAAGTTCGCGGGAGCATCGGTCGAAGCTCGCTCAGCTAAAATGTTGTTAGTAGTCACTTTAAAGTTAACGTCCTTGAAAGACTAATGATGGCATTTACCCATGATTTTAATCTTTTCTTCCGTTAAACATTTTTTTTATATATGCTCTAATAACTCCAACTAAAATGTTTTAGACTTTTATTTAATTGTACAACCAACAAACACATATAGAATAAAAAATCATACAGTGTTGCACGCTAAACCAACTAACACTATGGCGGATTTGTTGTTTGTTGTAAACAAATGTGTTGACAGAATTAACAACTGTCATTGATTTTGTCAACAAAGTTGTTGACCTTTTTTTTTATAAAAAAGGATTGTTGCTGGCCAACAACTTTGGGTAATTATTCAACAAGTTTTGATTGCAGATTTGTTTATCGATTCTGTTGTCACAATTTTTTTATTCTCAACCAGACGTTTGAGATTCATTCACGTCATTTTGTCCATGGTTATTTTTATTTTTATTTTTATTTTTATTTTTATTTTTATTTTTATTTTTATTTTTATTTTTATTTTTATTTTTATTTTTATTTTTATTTTTATTTTTATTTTATTTTTATTTTTATTTTTATTTTTATTTTTATTTTTATTTTTATTTTTATTTTTATTTTTATTTTTATTTTTATTTTTATTTTTATTTTTATTTTTATTTTTATTTTTATTTTTATTTTTATTTTTATTTTTATTTTTATTTCTATATTTCTTAAAGGTTACGCGCATTCCCCTATCTTCGAGTATAGCAATTACCAAATAATGTGAGCCTATATAACTGTGTAATAATTTTTAGCCATGGTGTATTGGACATGGCCAACGTTACAAACGATATCTTTGAAGCGACAAACAACATTCTTATATTGACCAGGGCGACGTAAGACAACCTTTGGCATGAGCCTGTTCTATTCTACCACGCCATGTAATTCAGCAACATCAATTGAGACAAGAAAATCATTCACGCCATCAAATGTCGTCTTAAAAAAGAAGGTGTTGAAACCGAATTAAAGTAGACTCGTTAAATTGTTGTAGTGGCTATAAAAGTTCAAAAAAAAATTCGTCTGTAACACTAAATAATAACGATAAGCCACCAATCTGACTTTAGGTGGGATGCAGCAAACAAAACATGGTTATTGCCTCCTCTGGGCTTGCTGATATGATCTTTGAAAAAGAGGAGATATACACAGTATTATCAAGCCAGGTCCGACGGCGCCTTTACTACACCATTACTTGTGTTGACAAGTTCATGGGGACCGGAATATTTTCTGCGGTAGTACCGTTGTAAAGCAGAGATAAGTTGTCGGATTTTAGGTTACTAAACCAAATAAACTGGAGTAAGCCCAATATTTATGTTTTACATTTTCCTCCTTTCTTTCTTCTTAAACTCACTTAAAAAAAACACTAAGAATATATGGTAAATTTATTCCTCAATGTAATATGTGTGTCTATTAACGATGCTGGTTTTGTTTTTAGCTTCAAGAGGACATTCTTTTAATAACCCCAACGTGTTTCTAACGCTCTTTGCTTATATGTAAGGAACTCAACTTCTAATTTGAAGCGTTCTGTTGTGCGTTTTTGTTGTCTACATAACTAACAACGCTTCTCATTCAGGTAGTCTAGGAGTAGGTTTTGCTCTTTATGTAGGCTGCTACTATACTCCTTTATCTCTTTTAAAAAAGGATGTCGTACTTTAGATAAAGCTGTAAGTTTTCTCATATACTTCCTAAATCAAAAGACTAAAGTGAACCACCTCAATTATTTTTCTAAATTAGAACACTCTTTATTTAAACATGTTATGGTATGTCTTTTGGACTTATAAATCTTTTGAATAATCGCTCACATTTCTGTGTATCATTTTTTAGGACTAACGGTACGCCTGTTTTATGATGTACGGTCAAGGTAAGGTTGAGATTACTCTAAATCGCTCTTTTTGTTTCTAATTTTGTTTTTTAGAGGATCACTACATTCATACGAAGCACTCTTTCTTGGTTTTATGTTTCGTTCGATGTCGGGTGCAAAAGACTGTAAACTTTGTTAAATGTGTATCAGTGCCCTATTTATGGTTATACCGTCTTTAAGAACGATTGCCGAAAAAGACTCTTTTCCTTATTATCATAAAAGATATTTCTGCTTCTCCATAGCCATTGTATATACGATAATAAAATCTGTTTAATAATTTATCTTGTTTTTTATGTAAAATGATGACTAATGATAATGAAATCAAAAACCATTGGTTGTTTTATACCGTTTTACGAATGAAAATATGAAAAAGCGAAACAACATTGGTTCAAAACACCAACAAAATTGTTGGATTCACAACAAGTATTGTTTATAAATCAAACAAAGTTGTTAAAAGTTTCAACAAGACTTGTTTGTAAAATCAACAAAGTTGTTAAATAGTTCAACAAGACTTGTTTGAAATCAACAAATTTGTTTGCAAAAGCAACAAAGTTACATCCAACAAGTTTGTTGAAATAATCAAAAAGACTTGTTGATTTTGTCAACAAACTTGTTCGTAAACAAATCGATGCCAGCTATTTCTCAAAACACTATTTGGCAGTAGCACTTGTTGATCTTGCCAACAAATTTGTTGGGATCGTCAACAAATTTTCCGCCATAGTGTAAGTCAAATTTTACAGCAACCATAGTAACATGACCTAGCAGAATTCATTTAAACTTTCATGTTCATAAATGCAACTGTATTATATTTATAGTTGCAGTAATAGTTGATTTAAGTATCCGAATTTGGTGTTAAGGCTGATGAAAACAAAAGGTTTTTTTTTCTTTTTCCAACTTTTATTTCAATAAATCACAATTTTATTATCATAACTTTCTGTAATGAACATCACTTTAACGAGCACTTTGTGTAATAAAAAGCGCGAGCGAGTTCAGGCTATTGTGTTTGAAGCCGAGCGGAGCTTAAGAAACTTCGAGCGAGCTTCGACTGGAACACCATCGAAGCTCGCTCGAGAGTTTCGATCTTCATTCCAACATTAGCGGAAACTGATACTCTGAAAGATCTGTTGAATGAACACTCTGATTGGTTTGCGACAAAGGCTTCTTCTGGTACTCCATTGGTTCAACACCACATCAATACTGGTGACCATCAATCTTGATCACAATCACCCCACCGAGTCTCAGCGGCCGAAAAAGACACCATCACAGGTCTATTGGAAGAAATGCTCGAGCAAGGACTCATTCGAGAAAGCAACTCTCCTTGGGCATCCGGTGTCGTGTTAGTCAAGAAACAGAATCATATACCTCGTTTATGTGTTGATTACAGACGTATCAGCAACATCATCACGCGTGATGTCTATCCGTTACCTCGAATCGACGATACCGTCCATAGTCTTGGCAACGCCCGTGTGTTTTCCACCCTTGATCTCACATCCAGCTTTGGGCAAACTGAGCTTGATAAGGAAAGCATCCCCAAGTCTACCTTCATCTGTCGGAATGGCTTGTATGGATTTGTTCGTATGCCCTTTGGATTAGGTAACGCTCCCGCTACTATGCAACGGTTGATGAATTCTGTCTTAGCTGGATCGAAATGGAAACTCTGCTTGTTGTACCTCGACGACATCGTGGTGTTCTCTACGACCTTTGAACAACACATTCAAGATCTCCGTGCTGTGTTCGATCGACTTCGTAACGCTCAACTATCGGTCAATCTGAAGAATTGCAAGTTCGCTAGCAATACGATTGCCTTCTTAGGGTACCTGCTTTCCCCTGCCGGTCCCACACATTGATCCTGTAAAAATTTGTCCAGTCTCTGAGTTCCCCATCACCGCAAATGTCGAAACTCTGCGATCATTCCTCGGTCTTGCTGGCTACTATCGATGTTTAATTGCAAAATTCTCGGTGATATCTGCTCCCCTTAACACTCTCCTCAAGAAGGACATCCCTTGGATCTGGTCTTTTATACACCAACATGGCTTTGATATTCTTAAACAAAAGCTAATCTCTGCGCCTATTCTTCGGTTTCCCGATTTTTTTCTCCTTTGGAACTCCATTTGGATGATGCATGTACAGCTGGTAGCGGAGTCATCTTGTGTCAACGTAATCCTAGTAACATTCGCGCGTAAACTGTGGATTCCTCTTCCCGCTCTCTCTCTCCTGCCAAAAAAACTATGTCGTCTCAGAAGTGGAAGCTTTGGCTATTGTTTTTGGAATAAAGAATTTCGCTCATTATCTCACCGCCACACGTTTTACTGTGTTAACTGATCATCAAGCCCTTCAATCCTTGCAGAACAAAATCACGGAATTACGTGATGGATTAGGTCAATGGTCTCTTAGCCTACAACAAAACGATTTTTGGATCATCTACCACCCTGGCTACAAGAATGCAGGTCCCGATGCTTTGAGTCCTTAACCGGTCGCACCCATTGCTGATGGCTCTCTTGAAATTGTCTGCAATCTATCTACCACCGAATTAGTCGCTGCTCAACTCGCGGACCGTTTTTGTCAAGAGATTCGTTCCACTCAGCCTCTCCCTCCCCATTATTCCAACGAGTCCGGTGTCCTCCTTCTATAACACCCGGTCAGTTCTACCGCAATCACTATGGCAAGATACATTTGAGTTATTTCACTCGAATCCAACAACTAGTCAACTAGGAATAGGAAGACCTCTGCAACGATTCGGTCGATTATATTACTTTCCTAAACAGAAAGAATAGGTTCAAACGAAGGTTAACACAAGCGGAGTATGTCAAAACGTCAAACGTTCACATACCACTCCAGGTTCTACTTCCAAAATCCATTTGAATCCATCTGATCATCCATTTGATACTATTGCTATTCATTCCTTTGGTCCACTAACTGCTTCAAAATCTGTAAATAAGTACATTACTGTGGTTTAATGTACATATGTTCTCAAGATATGTGATCATTACCAATGTTCCTGAAAACACTGATATCCAAGTCTTCAAATCCCTCAGTAAGAACATATTTGAGCATGGTGTATTTCGACAGATCTTCAGCGACAACGGTCAACGGTACTCCAGTACTCTCATCAATATTCTCTGTCTACACTTGTCAATAAAACAGAAATTCTCCCCTGCATACCATGCTAAGTCTAACGGTCTGGTCGAACGATTTTTGGCCACCCTCCGAAATCTAATCGTATCATTTATGGATCTCGACTACCAACAAATCACTTGGGATGAACACTTGAACGAATTTCCACTAACATATAAATCAAGTATACATGACTGGACTAAATTTCCGCCTATCTCACTTGTACACGGCCGTGAAGCAAGAACATTGGCTAGTCCTGATTTTGGCGCCAAGCTAATCCCGGCTCAAGAATATCAACAACTTATCAAGCAGTTCCTTGGTCGCGCTCTAGCCTTAGTTTAATTGCAAACCAGAAATCTCAAGATTACGATGCTGTTGCCTTAAACAACCAATGAGCCACTCCTGATTTCCTAATTGGTAGTCTGGTGCTAATTGACTTTCCCGTCCAATCGAGTGCTGCTGGTAAACTGTCTGCCAAACTTGTTCGATTTTTCCGTGGTCTATTCCAGATTACAAAGGTTTTGTCTCCTGACCGTTTCGATGTACTTGAACTTGAAACTAACAAGAAATGGCCTAATATACATGCAAGTCGAATGAAGAAACTCCTCCAAGAAAAGAAGCTTGTTCTTTCCTATTAACCGCCCGGATGTTGTAAAACCAGTCAAGTCATCTGACTCATCGTTGTTATACCTTTTAATTGCAGTATATTATCCAACACTAGTACTTGACCGCAGTACAACCGCAGTACAACCGCAGTACTGCGGCAACATATTAAAAACTTATAAATATCAATCAATTATCATACAATAAACATTATCTTTATTTTCAATCAAAAGGTCTGCCAAACAGTTCTAGCGAACGGAATTCTCTATATATAACTCCCTCTAACAACTTTCTCGCCAGTCACTTAGTCAACATTTAACAACCGACTTCAATTTTATTTTAAATTCTTATGACGCATTTTTCACGCATGAGCTCGGAAACTCTAGCTTTCTTCAATTCTAGACACTCAAAGTTCGTTGTCAAACCATCCATAGCAACCTAGATTGTTATTTAAGCGTGCTCATAAACCAGCCGTACCAAATTAAATTTATGACCTTCACCTAGTAGGCAAATTATGATAATGGCGCCAAGATTTTTTTTGGTTTCTAAGTATATTTCTTTCCAGGGCATCCTCATTCGCTTTTTTCATTCGAGTGCCGTGTGATAATTTAAGTTTGCGACAATAGCAGTCTGTTTGAATTTCCAACTTTTCTACTTCGGACAAAAAATATCGCCTAAATTTTCAATGGTATAAGCCTTATGTTGATGAGTTCGCTCATGCATAGGCAAAACGTGTTCCATTAACACATTTTTTGAAGTGGCCATTTCAAATTTAATGTCATTCCTTTTCAGACATTGGAAGATCAGTCAATTTCTTTAAAAGAACGCATGTTTTTTTGGACAATAAAAGGTAATTCTTGACCTTTTCGTCCATAGTATTTTTGCTACAGTCTTCTTAAGGAAACGCAAGTAAAACTAATACTTGTTTGATAGTATATAAAAGCTGACCAAAGCAATTGACCTGGTTTAGTCATTTTCAAACAATTACCAACTGAAGTTCGAAAAAGTTCGACAATCTGATGAACGGACTTTATATAAAATATATGACCGCTTTTCGATACCTTTTTTTAGTTTTTAAAAACTTTTAGGTCATCTTTCTGTCTGTCATTCTTCTGTCTATTTTAAGAGATTGGTGCATTCCAGATCGTAAATGGAAAGTCGATAGCCGAATTTTTTGTACGTCAATATTAAAAAAATAATTTATGATTTTGCTGAAATAAAATAATTTAGATTCCGAATACGATTTTTAGGACTAAAATTAATGACATCATCATTTTTTGTTGCGCAGCAATTTTCATTTTTATTTTTTCAAAAAGCGGCGGGTCGTTTTTTTTTCTCTTTCTCCCATTAACGATTCTTGGAAAAATGCTCTCGTATATTCTTCTTGACGAGTAAGTAAATCGAAATCAGTAAACATTAATGCTATAAACACGATTCTAATGTTGACATTTAATAGATTGTTGTGTGAATTAACACATTCGGCGTTTCTTTTTTCGGCTTTTCCCTGGTTTTGGACCAAATTTTGTTTCTTTTTTCTTTGGGAAAAAATGATTTGGTTCTTTGGTTACTCTTTGCTTGCTGTCATTGGTGACAGAAAACAGGTTCGCGTGGCACCCGAGCCAATCGGTGATGTTTACGTCTGTTTCGGTAGAGGTATCATACCTCTCACCACCTTCAAAAACAACCCTGAGCTTTTTGCTCAGACCACTCCTTTGCCTGTTGTTTCTCCTGTTGTTGCTCCTCCCCCCGAGGATTCCGTCAGTCGACCCTTTTCTTCTGTTCCTTCTGTGGCAACTGTGACAAAGAAGGAAAAAATATGTTACTCTTTGGATTGTGCTTGCGTGGTCGGCATGCCATGTCTTAGTGATGGTTCTTTGCCTGCTTTTCCGTCTGTCCTTCCCGTCTGTTCTCGCGTTCCCTCCTTTGCTTTCGGATGTGAAGCTTTGACACAAGCATGGCTTGTAAATAATTCTGCTTCTCTTTCTTGTATTTCTTCGTCTGTTGCCTGTGGGGATGTATGTCGCTCTGCCGTTGCTCCCTGTTTGTCCGTTTCTCCTCTTGAGGTTTCTTCCCCAATTGGGGATAACGCATCCTCGGCGGTTTCTTTCCCTCTCGGGGATAACGCCATTCCTGCGGTTTCTTCCTCCCTCGAGGATAACGCTTCTTTTTCTGTTGCTCCTGTTGCATCAGTTGGCTCTGGTGTTTCTGGTGGTTCTCCACCTTTGCCTTCTTTGACTTCTGTTCCTGTTTCGTCCGGCTGTTCTTCCGTTCGTTCTTCTCCGGTCTTGTCTCCCGCTTGCGCTTCTCTTGCTTGGCCTTCCTTTCCCCCTTCTCCAGTGGCGCCTTCCGTTCCTGCTTCTCTCGGTTGGGATTCTTTTCCCGCTTCTCCTGTGTTGGCTTCTGCTTTTGCTTCTCCCGTCTGTTCCTCGGCTCCTGGGTCCCCCGGCTTGTCTTTTGGTTCATTTGCTTTGTTTGGGGTTGAATTGACACCTCCCTCCTCTCCTTCCCCTCGTCCGACTTCTGTTGCGTCTCCTGGTCCTTCCTCCCCTCGTCTTGTTTCTTCTCCTCGTCGCCCTTCTTCTCCTTGTGAAGAAGAAAATAATCGTGATCGTAAGAGAATTCGAGCTCGAGATTAATTTCTTTTTAAATAAAAACTAGTCAAAATGAATTTTCTTCGTAGTATCTCCAACGTATTTACCAAATTTAAATAATTCGGAGGTTTTTCATTAAACGTATGTTAAAATAAGTGATATTTGGTTAAATGTACCGTTAAAAAATGAAGTTTTTATAATTTTTGAATCAAATACATTTGTGGCTCTTTTCCTTCTTTATGTTTGACGAGCGTTCGAAACCGAATGAATACTTGAAGTATCGTTGTCTTCCTTTAGTTACAAAAGGTCCTAAATGAGCATTGGAAATCCCGATGTTCAAAACTATAAAAACAGCAAGAATAAACAGAATATTAAAATCACCTAAGCCAATCTAAGTCACACGTGTTGTCCCAAAGTAACCGTGAAAAGGTCAACGAAAATTGCTGTCTTAGGCTGAGAAATGACGATATGTGGATATTAAGTCTTTTTTTGCTTTAATTCGATTACGGGTACAAAAAAAAACTTAATGCGTATTGGACTGATATCGGAGGACAGTAGCAGAAATCGTCGAGTAAGAAAGATTCTGTATGTCGTAGAACATGCTGGAGTAACAAGGCTTGAAGACGCAATCACATGTAATCTAAAACATTGATTTTTTTCTGGATGCATGCAAACAGGACCCAAAAAAATGAATAGAGAAAACTATGCATAGAATATGTGTGCGATCTATTACCATGTCGTTCCTGTGATGGACAATGCACTACTCAAAATGCAGTTTACAAAAAACGTGGTGTATCGCAGATGTATTAAATCTTTAAAAAATAGATATCCAATATTAAGAGATGGTAATCATGGAAACGATTGCTATAAAAAAATACTGATAGACAGACAAACATTATTTCATTAGAGCATTCCCAGCGGTTTCCTAAATTTTCTAAATTTGTTAAATTTATCTTTTTTTAATAAAATAACACTACATCCGTTAATTAAAAAAAAAGTTCAATTTGTAAACGACCAATTTTTTTCTAGAAAACAACTAAATATGACTTTTTTTAATTTTTTTGCTCCTTTCCCGATAGATTTTTAAAATAACAACGCCGAATGAGCAGGAACAACAAATACAAAAGCAAAAACAAAAGGAACAGTCCAATCGTAATAAGCGCGCCCGTGGCAATAACTGGACCTTCGACGAAAAGACCCAGTGGTTGAAATCTTGGGTTGAAGTCTCAACCAACCCGAATAAGGGCAACAACCAGAAGAACCCGGACTTTTGAAGGCTGTCGAAAAAGAATTTGAGATTAACTTCGTCAAAATCTACAAACTTCCTGTTACTGAGAGAGCAGAAAACTCTCAACAAAACAGATTCACGATGATTGCATCTGCTATCGACAGGTTTTGTGGGTTTTTTTGATACTTGAATTAGAGGCCCTGCCCCTAGTAAATCTGATCCCTCCGACAGGGTATATAATACACCCGAAAACTATTTGACATATGTAAAGACTGACATGACATTTTTGAAACAAATGGCTTTTAGAGACACTGCGATGTATAAGGCGTCCGAGAAGAAGGATAAGAAGCGGTCTAACTTCTTGAATTGCTGGAAGGTGTTACGAACGAGTGAAGAGTGGAAGAGTCGTGCCGAGGCCATCTAATACACTATCTAGGCGAAGGCAAAGAGAGTTCCCATGGGTGTTTTGGTCGAGGACGATACCGAGATACAGGCTCGTCCTGTGGAACGCAAGAGGCCTACGGCCATGATGAATAACAGTGCTGAGCAGAGTTATGAGATCTGCAACATGTTAAAGGAGTTACTTGAGGTCACCAAAAGGATGATCGACTTTGCGGAAGAAGGGAAAACGTTTTTCCGTGACCAGAGTTAGTTGATGATGGATCTGTCAAACATTTTATTCGGAACTTACAGGGATTAAGTGCAGTAAAAGCAGTTGAGAATCCCGGAAGGTCTAAAGGCGGTTGATTCGCCGAAGACCTAGTCCCGTCAATTATCCATCATCGTAACCATTGATGATGGTCGAAACTCTCTGGTCTATGAAGATGGACCAATGTTGATTGATGATGAGGAACCAGTTTTGGTTGAAGATAAAGAATTGATTTTGGTTGAAAATGATTAAAAATAAAAATTGGTTTTCGTTTTTTAAAAAAGAATATTTTATTGGGGGTTTTGTATATTTAAAGGGTCTACATGTCGTTCCGTCTTTGCCATAAATGTTCAATAATATCGAATTGCAGCTAATCGTGTGGATCAGCATCTCTGATTCTATAAAAACTTGGCAACGAGCTCACCGAATGACAATTTTTGACGAGACGATGGAGGAGGAGAAAAGTGGGGTTTGTAAGAAAGACGAAGATCCAATCCACGTTCATCCTCCGCAATCATATTATGCGAAATAATCCATGCTTCCACGATTGCATATACAACCTCTTCCTTGAAGAGGCGAGAGGGTATTTTGAACATGGCAAAACGTGACTGTAAGACACCGAAAGCCCGTTCTACATCCTTTCTAACCGCGTCTTGTGCGTTTGCAAAGTTCTACCATATAACACGTTAAATGAAAGTACATATACTAATCAAAGTTTCCATGGATTACCTTTTTCTTTTGCGACTGTAGGTTTGGCAGGGTTTTGACAAGAGGAGAATATCTTGGTTCTATGCCATCTGCCCCATAGTAACCGTTATCACAGGTATTGTGGTTGACCGTGAACTTGACATCAGCCACATCATCTTTGGCCAGGCTTGCAAAAATTAAGAACCGGTGGAGGATATTGATGTCGTTGAGGGCACCAAGAAGATTAAAAAGGAATGCCAGATCCAAAGGTCCTGAGAACCTACAGCCTCCAACATAAAGATTGGTCGACCACTTTTACCAGCGAACTGACCATGATCAGCAGTTAGGCAGTTCTTCCATTGCCAATGCATGCAATCAATGGATTCAAGCACACCCGGGAAGCCTCGCTATTCATTGATCGCCAACAAATGATTAACATCTTCTTTCCTAGGAGTCCTTATATACTGCTTCTTCTACACAGTCACAACAGCATTTGCGAATCTTTTTAAGGATTTTCGGGTTGTTGATTTGACTATACAAAGCGTGCCGTCAATTTCATCCAATCCTACTCCATAAGCCAGTTGACCAATGGCTGCTATTACTTTCTGGAGTGGCGTAAAGCCTAAGACGTTGTCCTCATCATACACTATTTTCATAAATTATTTGCACACTCTAGGAAAAAATTTGCGCACTTTTTTTTCAATTTCCGCACACTTTTTTATTTATTTTTTTGGTGAAGTATTGAAAAACAAATTGCTCACTTTAACTTTTACATTTCGCACAAATTTCGAAAATAAATATAAACAATGAACATTCGTACTTTTCGGGAAGATGGACATGGGAAGCTGTAGATGAGCATGGAAATGAACCGGTTCAAATGGAAGTAGACGTGGACGGTTACCCACTCGCTGACACTGTTGACTTCAATAGCTATATGGAATTTGAACCACCTGAAAAGCCCGAGGCCTCAATTAAAACCAATAAGATGGTTTCTACTGCTACATCAGGACCAGTTTCTTATTACAAGAAACATGGAGACGATGTCAAAGGTCATTTTTCTACCTTGTTTATGAAGAAGGCCTAACTGCAGGTAAAGCAGGAAAGCAGTTAGGTATAGCCCGTAAAACCGCCTCCGACTGGTTCAAAAAGACCATGATTTGATTGTTGAAACGCGGGATGGATTGGAGACCAAAAAAACCGAAAAGAATGTTGGTAAAACCTGCTCTATTGAATGAAGAGCATAAAAAGCATTTAGAAGAAACGTTTATCGATCAACCTTCTGCAACTTTGGATCAGGCAATAGAAAGTCTTACCAGCCAGTTCAGTGAATTGAAAGTAACCAAGACAACTGTTTACATCTTCATGACAGAGAAGTGTGCCTTGTCATTTAAAAAAGCACACTTTCAATCAAAAGAAAGAAACTCGCCCGTAAGCAATAGGAAAAGATTTGACTTGGTTACAAGATGGATTCAAACCGACATGGATTACAATAGGTATTGTGTTTTCATCGACGAATCCGCCTTTCACATCCATTTGAAGCGAACAATGGGTTGGTCCAAAAAAGACACTCGAGCTGACGTTATCCAACCACTGACACGATCGAAGACAACGACAATTTTGGGTGCTATATCCCCGTATGGCATTGTCAATGTCAAGATAAGGGTACCCTATTCAGCAGCTTCTAAGAAACGAAAGACGGTTGGTGGTAGTAAAATACAGAAAAGTATTGGTACTGTTACGGGACATTACTTCAATTTTATTGCCAGCACTATCGATGTGATGGATCGTCATGAGGAATTCAAAGGGCACTACATTATTATGGATAATGCGCCCATACATACATCCGATAATATTTGAAAGTTTATCGCAAGTCGTGGGTATGGGTGTGTGTATCTACCACCTTATTCCCCTGAGCTAAACGCTATTGAGCAGTTTTGGTCTGTTGTTAAGAGTAAATTGAAACGTGAAAAACTGTTGGAGGCCGAAACTTTGAGATCCAGAATCACTGAAGCATGCCAAAATGTCTTGATAAGCGACTTGAAAGGCTTTTGCCGGTTTTCTGAGTCCAAGTTCGAAACTTGCTTAAATAAAAATCCCCTTTAAAATAATTCGCACGCACTGTGCAAAAAATATTCCTGGGAGTGAGCAATTTTGTTTTCAAAAAGTGAGCAAAAAATAAATAAAAAAGAGTGCGGAAATCGAAAAAAAAAGTAATCAATTTTTTTCCTAGAGTGTGCAAATAATTTATGAAAATAGTGTACTTTTGACCAAAGTAGCTATCATGAGCCGTCACTGATTCCGTGATTCGCAAGAAGAGACATTCACTCATTCTGTATCTTCTTCAAAAAGTAGCGTCGGAATATCTTGAAGGTTTCGAAAAGTAATCCTTTAGGAGCGTTTCAAGTCCTGCTGACGTCCTCTCTTGACAACTCGACGTTTTTTGATAACAGGAGGCTTTTGATTTTTGACTTTTTTCGTAAACCTTAGAAAATCTATCATAGCAGTAAGATGCATTTCATAATCCTATGTCGGGTCATTGCCAAATAGTCTTTCGAAAGTCGACATTGCTAACATTGTGTGAATGAAAATGAAAAAGTGAAAAAAAGGGAAAAAAATTACCGAAATTTATTATTTTTTTAACAAACGACTGTGGAAATTTCAAAAAGATAAATATCTCGATAACAAAATATAATAAATTTACAAATACATTTAGCAAACCGCTGGGGATGCTTTTAGAGGGTATTTATAGTTACGTGTATAGATCGCATCGTGGGTTTTATCATCAAACAGATATAAAAAATGGTCTTATTTTTCGACCCATAAACAAAATCCTAAAATTAAATTAACAGTGACCTATTCAATTCCACGGTATTACCATGTACAGTATTATCACCTAAAATTCAGACAACTTAAAATTATTTTCAGTCAAGCTCAAAAAACTTCAGACAAAAACGAATATTTTTCGAGAAGCGTAAAAAATTAATCAGACAAAGGGAAATTATTGTCAGAAATATGCTAACGAAACTTCAGACAAGTAAAAAATTAAACTAGTTTTGATTCTTTCTCAAGGTATTTATCCCAGTACGTTTCAGAGTTTTGTATGCAACCATTACAATCGTCCCTGGTAATAGTCTCACAGGCTGCCTTGATTTTTGGGTTAAAGTGCTCAAAGTGGAAAGCGAGTCTCTTCTGATGTGCTTCTTGATCTTGGATTAGCATTCTTCAATAGGATTCCAAAATGGAAAATATGGTGGCATAAATAAACGCTTATAGCCTCTACTTTCGATTGGATCAACAGTAGTGTTCGGAATGAAGATCGAAACTCTCGAGCGAGCTTCGATCGTGTTCCAGTCGAAGTTCGCTCGGATGCGTTTTTTTGCAGCTCGAGCTCGCTCGAAGTTTATTAAGCTCGGCTCGGTTGCGAATGCGATAGCTCGAACTCGCTCGCCCTTTTTATTACACAAGGTGCACGTCAAAGTGATGTTAATTACAGAAAATTATGATAATAAAATTGTTATGTATTGAAATAGAAGTTGGAAAAAGAAAAAGAAAACTTTTGTTTTTCACCAGCCTTAACACCAAATTCGGATAATTAAATCAAATTATTACTGCATCTATAATTATAATACATTTGGATTTGTGAACATGAATGTTTTTATTAATTCTGCTACGTCATGTTACTATGGTTGCTAAAAAAAAATTGGCTCAGTTGGGTATAGTGTGCAACACTGTTTCATTTCTATGGTAAATGTGTTTGTTGGTTGTACAATTAAATAAAGGCCAAAGCATTTTAATTGGAATTATTAGAGCATAAATAAAAAAAAATGTTAAACGGGAGAAAAGATTAAAATCAAGGGGAAATGCCATCTGTAGTCTTTCAAGAACCTTAACTTTAAAGTGACTACTATCGACATTTTAGCCGAGCGAGCTTTGAGCGAGCATTGGTTGAAGCTCGCTCGAACCCAAAAAAGTGGCTTAAGCTCGAGTACAAAAACTCGGTTCGAGCTTCGTTCGAACTGGCGCAAGATCGGTGCAAGTTCGAAAAGTTCGAACACTAATCAACAACGAAGTGGGAATAATGAATTCTAAAATTACTCATAACGATATAAAATCCAACTTTGTTGGGTCTGTCTAAGACATCCATGAAATTTCTAACAAGTGTTACAACATGCTACGCAGTCGTACACCTTTTTGGGATTTCCCTTTTTGTTTCATCGGTTTTATCCTTTTTTTATTGCTGGCTGGTAAACGAAACTCTTTCTCAATCTTAGCAACATAAGCTGGCTACCAAGGCTCTATCTTGGAAAAATTGATGATTCCAAAAAACGATATACACCCAATAAAGCTCAAGTAATCACCCTTTTGAGTTGGAGCACAAACGACGGCAGGTGTTCTTTGGACGGATCAGGCTTTACTTCTGATCTGGCGAGCGCTCAAACTGGCCTCATCCATATACACGCAGCTAGTCTGGAAGTCAACCACAGCTGCTTTCCAAGCGTTTATTACGTTAAATCGAAAATCCAATGTTCTGTTCTCATCGATTTCCATCGTATTGACATGTCAGTTATTTAATGAAAGTCGTATCTTTTTCACCATATTCTTTCTTAATTCAATTTGGGAAATGCTAAAGCCTTCTAAAACAACACAGTTACTATCTTAATATGTTCATGGTAATACAAGGGTTTGGTGCACTACTGTAACTCGGTGAGATACTTTAGCTGTGCCATAATCTCATATTTCTTTGCTCGCTTTGCCCGCCTATTTTAGAAGGCTTTCTTAAACCGCCGATAGGAGTCACTGTTTTATCACTTTTATTTCATTGTTTTAGTATTTTAGAGGCTGTAGAGCGTGGGATAAAACGGGTTTTGGGATGTTTATCATAAGCTGAAAAAAAAAGGTCTAATAATAACGGGCCAATAGGCCTTATAATCTATTGTTTAATGTGAGCTTAGGTTGATTTGACTGTTTTCCGCATCATTCTCAACTTCTTTCGATCCACTTTCCTGTTCCATCTCATCATATACCAACAATTGCTGAGGTACAGTCCAATCGTCGGCCAACAAAACTAATTTACCAAACATTGTTGGATGGTCCTCATTCACTTCCATCCCATCGAAGATTTCATCGAAATAAGATTTTCTCATTACAAACGTGTTTGCTGTGTTGTAATCTTCTACTTGCATTTTGACTATTTTTTTTAAACGATACTTTGACATTAAGAAGATAATGATGCCTGTCTGCAATTTTTCTATTAAATAATCTGAATAATTATTTACACTTGTCTGAAAATAATTTTTTTTAGTCTGAATTATTTGATGAGGTTGTCTGAAAATAATTTTCAGCTATCTCGACTTAAATTGATAATACTGCTCCTTTTAATTCGGATAACGAATATCCTTTTTACAAGAAGATTCTGAGACGTGTTATAATTATCTTTTCAAATCGGATGAGACATGTTTAAATAATCATTTAAATATTTCAGAATAAGAAAAGCAATATTCAATTCGACATTGCAAAAATACGAGACCATAAAAATCTAATAAAATTGGTTTAATTTGATCCCTAAGAATTAAGGACACATTCCTGCCATCGACATAGTTTTTCTTTTCGAATATATTTCTTTGTAAAATCACTTTCTAGATTCAGTCTTACAAAAGCAGCCAACGAAGTTAATTGCCTTTCTAGTTACCGAGATCAATTTGTTTTCCTAAATAATAATAAAAATAGCAACCCATAATGTTGACGGTTGTGGCGAATCAGTTGAATGCGAGCAACTGTGATTTACTGGTAGTCGTCTCTCTCTGATTTAATTAATTGACGGATTAAGGATTTTTGTGACTTAGGTCATAATCTTTTTGCCAGCAAAATATATCAAGTCATAATTTTAGTGGCTTAGAAAAAAAAATTTTTAAGAAGAAGGGCGTGTTATATTTCTTTTCTTTTCCTTTTCTTCCCTATATCAGTCTCAAAAAATGCTAGTCCACCTTTTCTTCGACGAGTAAGTACAAGACATACATTTACCATGTTTCGTATAAACCTGATTTTAACTTTGACATTCAATAGCTTCATTTGTGAATTAACACATCTCGCCTTTCTCTGTTCGGCATTCCCTTGGTTTTTGGGCAGACGTGGTTTTTTTTTTCGCTTTGAAAAAATTTGTTTGTTTGCTTAGTTCGTTTTGGCGTGTGGTGACTGGTCTTCGACCAAGACATCGTACTTCGCCAATGGCAATTGGCGAATTGTACTTCTGCACCGGTGAGGGTTTTTACCCCGTCAGCATGAGGGATCGATTCGCTGTTTCGCCCTTGCCTGCTGTTTCTTTACGTTCTTCTGTTGGTGCTTCTGCTTCCGCTCCTGCTTGTGTTGCCTCGCCTGTCTCCTCGCCTGTCCGTGAGGTTCCACGCCTTACATTTTCGTTTGCTTCTCCCTCTCCCACAATTATAAAAGGTAAACGTAAGTGTTACTTTATGGACTGTGCTGCTGCTCTTGGCTTGCCTTCTGTCGATTGTGGTCTGGTGCCTTCTTTGCCTCCCCTTCCCCAATACGACCCTTCCGTTCCTGGCTTTGCCTATGTCGGCTTAGTGATCAGTCGAGCATGGCTGGCTGAGAACGTGACCTGTGTTCGCTCGGAGCCTTTGCTTGCTGCTTCCGTTGCTTCTTCTTTGCCTCTTGGTGTGCCGTGCTCGGTTGTTTCTTGCTCCGGGGCTTCGTCTTCGGTTGCCGACATGGTGTCCTCTCCTGTGTCTGCTCCTGTAGCTTCCTCTTGGGAGTCTTTGACATATTCGACCTCTGTGGAGGTAATGGGACGTTCGGCGTCCTCTTCCTTTGTCTCCGGTGTTGCTGGGTCGTCTCCTGTTGTTGCCGCGGAGCTCTCTGCGCCTTTTGTGGAGACTTCGCTTGTTCCGGCTGCTGTGTCTGAGCCTTCGGCCAATACTGTAGCTGAGATTGTTTGTCCTGTTGTTGTGCCTGGCCCTGTTGCTGTCACTACAGCCACAGTTGTACCGCGGCCTGTGGCTATCCCTCGTCCGTTTTCTTTGCGTCGTCGTTCTGGTGCTGGTCGTTCTGCTCGCGCTGTTGTTGCGATCTCTCCTGCTGCCGTTTCGTTTTCTGGTGCTCGTCTTTCTCCTTCGGAGAATGTAATCTCTGGAGTCAAAAGAAATATGCCTCCTCCCTCACCACCAACCTCTCGTCGTCGTCGGCTTTCCTGTTGTCCTCTTCCGGAGAAGGTGTCTCTTGCTGTTTCCTCTGTCCCTGTGGTTTCCTCCGTCTCTTCTGTTCCGGCGGTCGGTGTCGTTGAGGCTTCCTCAATCTCTGTTTCCCCTGCGCGTCCCATTGCTATGCCGTGCGTATCCCATTACGAAAAAGCCAGGGAGAAACAGAGTTTGAGGGACCTCTTCGACGCTGCCGAAAAGGAAGGTAGGATATTTTTATTTTTAAACTTTGTTAAAAACGTTTAATTTACTTATTGTATCTATTTTGTAGAAGAAGAGGAGTTGAAGAAGGAGCAAGAAAAGAAGGAGAAAAAATCTCTCTTTAACCGAAGAAAATAAATCTTTCTTTTTAAAAGTATAAACCAATGGGATGAATCACTATGGATTTTTTGTTCTTTGTTTGGGTATTTTGTACATATTTTTAAGACGTAACTTTCATATGAAGTCATTCTTTGCGAATGCTTAAGACTGTTTTTATGAACATCTTACTCAAAAGCCGATTACGACTCATACAAGCAATAGTTCGGCGTTTTTAATTCGTTTCAGTTCATAAAGAAAAGCTTATTATAAACAACATGCTCGGGTAATATTAGTTGGAGCAGACAACATTCATTCAGTAAGCTTTAAACGGAGTTATAACTTACAAATGAGATACATGAAGCAGAAATCGTTGTCTTTGGACTGTGCGTTGACTAAATTGGGGTCATACAAGGATCAAGTTCAAGGACTACGAAATAATTGGATACTTTTTGAATGTCGCTTGACAGATTTATGTTTTAAGTTTCCTAGTAATTACATTGTAGTCATAGTTGCAATTGTCTAAATTTATTCCTCAAATGGAACGTGACAAAAAAATTTAAATCGAGGAATCTTCGTATATGTCTGGCTTTTCTTGAAAAAACATCTGTTTTTTATATTTCCCTCTTAGAAATATTTCAAGAAAGCCGATTTTTCATAAAATTGTTTTTTTTATTCGCGCCTTTAATTCGAGTTAACAGTTAGCTGCTTTCTTGTGTTTCCCGAAATTATTAGTAACTAACTTGATTCTGCTCTCGAAGTTCATCAATATGGATTTTCACTTGTAATATCTAATGTAGGGATGAAAAAATAACGATTATGTATAACATATACTGTGAGTCCAGTGCAAAAACGTTATAATGTGTTTTGTTATACTTTTTTTATTGTAAAATAATAATGAGATACCGTCTGCGTTTGTAGCTTTGAAGAGTGCTATGTATTATTTGTCTTTAATAAAAACTGGCGTTGAAGATTAAACGTTGTATTTTATTAAAACTTGTATAAGAATTTGTTGATTGTCTTTGCAAAAATTACTCAGATTTTAGATTGTTTTGTCACCAAACAAAGAGAAACTAATTTCGCAAAGTGCATAAAATCAAAATGCATATACGTTCAATTAACCTGGATCGTTCAAGAACGTCTTCATGCTTTTGCAATAGATGATTTTCTTATCATTACACATAATATTTAACTATAGCTACAGTTCGAAAGAAACCGAATAATTAAACCAATTGAAGATATTTTGTGCGGGGGACAATGTAATTTTTAAGATTCTTAGTTTCCGTTGGGACGGCAGTAAGCTATAAAAGAATAGTTTACTATTAACTTGTCAAATGACATTAAGAGATGGAACGGTCAACAATCGTTTAAATCCAAAACATTTTCCCAGATTTTCGTACTACCATAAAATGAATTCAATTTGGTTAAAGAGTTTTCGAGTAATGTCGTGAGTGCATGGTTGCAAAATCACAATTGCAGTTTTTTCTTGTGATACATTGTATTACACTGCAACGTCGGAATTTGATTGAGGACCACGTCATTATATACCTGAGAAAGACTTTTATTTATTTTTTATTTTTTAGCTCCCTAAATATCAAATTTTTCTTTCCTCGACACAGAAGTAGTAATGTCAGAATTTATTCTAAACCGCCGTTTCAAAAAATCAACATTAGTTGGAACAGGATTTTATGGCTCCATTTATAAAGGTAAATCGTCTGGCTGTTGAGATTCACTTTTTTTTTTTGTCGCTAATCAAGATTCCAAATTAGAGGATTCGATCTTAAGGACAAGCGAGATGTCGCGATCAAAGAAGAATTGTTGCCTACTAATACACCAGAACTATGGAGAGAAAAAGCTTTTTATGGAATAATTCGAAATCAAGAATGCTTTCTTCAAAAAATAACCTCTTTTGAACGAGGAACCTACAGATATTTGCTTTTGATTTTGGTCGGAAAAGATCTTTTCGATCAGAGCGAATATCATGGAGACAAATTGGGACTTAAATCTACAGTTCTGATTGCTAAACAGCTGGTAAATACGGTGTGGTATAAATTGTTGGTGTTTCTTTAACTTACATATTAAATTTTAGGTAGACCGTATTGAAATCCTACACAGCAAAGGTAAACCTAAATGTTGATAGTACCAGCGTCTGCCTACTCAAACGGAGTTTTCGTTTTAGGTATTCTGCATTTAGATCTCAAGTCTGAAAATATTGCCATAGGGATAAATAAAAAAAAACAAATATACGGTATACCTTCTGGATTTTCGTCTTAGTAAATTTCATAAGAATGGAAAAAGCCATATCCCCTTCGCCCACAAAGTTCCTTTCGGAGGTATCATTTGTTACGCATGTTCAAATGTGCATAAATGACATTGTAGGTATAATTATTTGATAATTAGATATAAATGACGCTTACGTTTGTTCTTTAGAGTTATCTCGACGTGTTGATATCGATTCTATGGTTTACGTCATCGTCTACCTCTTGAAAGGAACCTTACCATAGATAAATTATAAAAACAATTATAAAAATTCCAAAAAGCAAAGACTTTTGGCACAGAAGGAGAAGCTCAGTTCAGAGCAGCTGTGTAATGGATTGGAATCAGAATTTGCAAAGATTTTGGATTATTCCAGATCTTTATCTTCCACGCAAAAACCAGATTACCGATTCATTCACAAATTACTGGATGATATAATCGAAAGAAAATGATATAAGGATGATTATGTTTTCGAGTCGAATGTACGTATATCTTTTGTTTTATTTATGTTCTTCATGTACTAATACTCCTTTTCAAAAGACAATCCAAACTATCAAAACCATTGAAACCAGCAAACATGATCCAAACAAACGAAAGTTGGTGGCTGATAAATACCAAGCACATCAATCGATCATCAAGAAGCGCGGCCAAGGCAAATAATAAATAATTGTTTTTTGAACCTAATTCCAATTAGAATATATGTCTGGGTATTGTATAGGGTTCTTGGTAGAATTTTGGTTCCATTTGTGACGGTAAATAATGACGATATAACTAGATAAACAATTTAATCCGATTTTTTAATAAATTAACGTCTATTTTGGTCTTCTGAGAGGGGTCCCCATCTGTGGTATATTCGCCAAAACAGGTGCAATACGTGGGCAAACGTGTGCACACATACTGTAAATGTCACAAGTGTTATAATTACAATACATTATACTAACGGTAAAGACACAAGACTGGAGGTGTTAAAATATATCAAGTTTTTATAACTGGTTACGCTAATTAATTTTTTTGAAACATTGGATATGCGTACCGAGTCCGATCGATTCCGCGTAATAAAATACGAACGTCATTTTAGCCTGGTAAATCTGTCTCCTATTCAAATAATGTATATACTTTCGACCACATAACCGCAGAACCTTTCCTATGACAAGCTATGTTACATTTCTAATTAAAAATGTCTTCATTAGTACCTTCATTGGGCTGAAGTCAACTTAAAAAATAATTATGCATATCATTCATGTATATCTTCTCATGATTACTAGTATCAACTGCCTGTTTTCGGGATGTTAATAAAGATGTTGGCTGATTGAGTTTGAAGTAAGCACAAAAGCAATTAATGAGCTTTGATTAGACCTTTTGTAATGTACCGTTTTTAAGAAATAGAGACATAAACAATCAAGGGTTCGAAAAATAATAACTCCTTTTGTAGTACTTGTTATTAAATTAACAAGAAGATTTTATCAGGACTTATTTCGGTATGTGACGATACTTCAAGATGGAGTTGTTGTGCTAGACAGGGTCTTGATTACGTTATGATAGTTCGTGTTAGAGATGTTTATTAGGGAATTTTAATAATATTAAGTGATTTTGTTTGACGATTTTAAGTGTGTACCGTTACAGAATATAAAAAATAATGGAACTTGTTCATACAACGTAAGCATTACATAGAATCGGTCGAGATAACGATCATTTCTTACATACTTATAGAAAAAAAAAGTTTATACAGAAAAGGTTTTAACGTGCCTCCAGTTTTAAATAGCGATTTTTTGGATTTTGTTTCAAATTGGTTTTTTCGAAATCGAAATGGTGGCATGTGTTTTGTTTTTTTTTTTTTTTTTTTTTGTAGAATCCTTAAGCTAGACATACATCTGAATGTTCATTTTTAATGGTTTTGACTCATTGTGACCATGCTCATTGTGCAATTTTTTTTTTATTAAGTCAATAAACCAGTATCAAGTCTAACTTTTCTGTGAGATAAATAAGGCTTGCTGACAAATTTCTTTACTTCCTGCACGACTTCTCTACCGTCACTACAGTCACTATATTCTTCAATGTAGTTCATAGACCTTTGAAAAAATCTTTTTATACGAACTACATTGGAAGCTTTATCCAAATAGCTTGATAAGTTATCATCAAGAGACTTGAATGTGTAATCACATCTCAAACGTGCCTCCCCTTTGGCGGAATCCCAGTACATTTCTCTCCAGTTGCATTCACAATGATATTTTGGATATGACTCAAAAATGTGACCTGAGTCAATAACGGCTTGCTGCAAAGCCGACTTTTGCGCCACAAAGTCGGGTCTACTTTCAAGAAAGTGACGAGCACAACACATTGATCTGTGGCCTGGCTCCTTCGACTTACATAGCATTTTCCAAGCCTTGCCTTCCAGATCACGACCAAGCCATTGACCTCTTTCCTCCAAAATCTTTCGAATACCTTTAAAGTATCGTGTCTCCTTTGTCTTCACGACATACCTCGGTCTGTTGGTGACACTTGTCTTCTTGGTGTAAAAGAAAGACTGTTCCAAGCGGGTGCCATCCGTTAAAATTACAGTCGTGTTTTTGAACTGATACTTTTCGTTATCTTTGTATGGCTTCTCATTAAGTGTCATACGACTTGAAACAAGAGCATCATCACCGAATGCATTGTAATTGAAACTGTTGTCAAAAAGGAAAACAGCTTGACAACCAGGGTGGAGCAGCTCAAACAAAGGGATTGCATCGTCTTGAAGCTGCTCCAACATGTCAGTGTACTTCCAGTACCCTTCTCTGCCCACGCCCGCTTTGAAAGATCATCTAGAAGTCCAACCTGCACTCTTCATGGTTCCGTGGCAAGAGCATTGAAACTCACTGACCATTATTGACGATCCTGGGCCCTTCTTTCGGATATAATTCTCACCTTCTAACAACCACAGATCATCCTTACCATCATTTGCATAAAATATGAATTCATCGTGCGTAA